TCAACTCGAAATTGTTAACTGTAGCATGTGAATCTACCATCTACATACGTAATTTCTACCTTCAAGTCTATGAATATCATTCGCAAACTAAGTACTTACTTTCAATATTTCAAATCTATTTACTACTCGTCGGCGATCTTTAACTTGATCGTGTATATCCTACGAAGTTAAAAATTTCCTCATTTTTAGGCAAATGTAAAGAAACTGATACTTTGCAATGTATACTTTTCGCCTGAATTTGAGATGAATCGAAAATATAAGGTTTTTTGTTACTAAAGTAGAGCGAGGTTTGCCATTAAAACGAAGTATATTTTTATTTTAGTTTCAAATAAATTGAAACTGAAGTTTTTTGTTATTAAAGTAAAGCAAACACAATTAAAAACCTAATCTTTTACTGGAAGCATTGCTTCCTTCTGATTTTATTATTAATTACATCATTCACATTATATAATCTCATATAAAATTTATTCTAACGAGATATCGTGTAATTATCTATTCCCATTGTTTCTTTCATTGTCTGCTAGTCTGATCAGCGTTAATTAACGAGCACTATTTACTAACCTTGATTTTTATTTACCATGAACCCAGACTAGAATTACCGATTATTAAGCAGAGGACAATCGCGTTCGTGAAATTATAGGGAATATCACGCGATACGGCGATTATAGAACTATAAAGCGTCAGAAAACGTGGAAACGAACGTCTGGCTGGAACCCGACGTCCATACTTCCGGTTTCGCGCGAACACCGACGCGATAATGTTCGTCCTTCCGCGGGAGAGCAGGAATTGTCTTGTTACAAGTGCCGGAAATACAAAATACGCGAGAACGAAAAAGCGACGCGAAAACATCAAAGCGGTCTTTTTGTCACCGCTGGTTTCCACGGTGAACACGCTTTAATTGCACCCGACTTTGACGGACGAAACGATGGTTTTCAGCCGCAACGAAAGTGTACAATAATTTGTGATATAGTACTAGCGGCAACGTAGTAGTTGGTAATGAAAATTATACTTTACTTTGCTGAGACACGTAACTACAAATAGAAATAAATACTCATGAATTATCGTTTGCCAAATAATCTGTCAGATTAGAATAATTCGCGGGATTTCCTGCTTGGATTCCATAAATTCTAATTTATTCTATTGTATTAGGAAGTTAGAAATCTTCTGCGAAAATCATAAAAAGTTTCGAAAATCACGGTAGGATTAACAAAAAGTATTAAATTAGAATAAAGAGAGAAAAATAAAAGAACACCATAAAAATGGAAATATAAAAATTCTGATTACTGAAACTTATCGCAGAAACAAATTATGTAATTGCATTCATTGTAACGTAGATGTTAACACAACGTAGAGAAAACTAACACTTATTCCTTATAAACTGTTGTGCACGAGTGGTCGTTCGATTAATACATTTCACTCTGAACTCTACATGTGGTCGTGCAAGAAGAAACATTTGCACAGAACTCGCGTTAATCAGCGATAATGCGTGCGCGAGGTGTAATCAATTCAAAGCTCAATAAAACTGTTTTAATCGGTCGACAAGCGCAATATTCACCGAGCTATAAACGCGTGAGACTACATCGTCGAAACAAAAATTATTGCTTCTATCTAGGTTAAAATCCCTATATTAAATTCCCTATATAAATAATATGCCCTATATTATTAAAATATACTATCCAGATATCTATCGGCTATATATAGGTAGTATATATATAGGTACTGTATGAATCACTTGTTTCGATGATTTATCGAGGAATTTGTTTATTGCGGTTAATATCCCGAAATCGAATTTACTTTAATTATGAAATCAAATCACCAACTGTCGGTAGTATCGATAGTTAAGGACAGATGTTGAATTTTAACATGCTCCCACGCATTTTGTATATTTTACATTTTATAAATACATTTTTTTTTTTTAATTTAACGGCGAAGAGTTCTATTTAAATTGTAAAAATGCAATCTCAAAGAGAATATTTATATAGGATGACATGCAACTGGGTCAAATGATCTCTGGTTATTATTGTGCAATGTGCTGTTATCCGTCCTTTCGCATCTGCTATAGAATTATATGGGCGTGAATATATCTTACATTTTATTAACCCGATTAAGCCATGGAGATAGTATTTCCAAATAGTTGGACTTTAATTGATGATTATTTATGAACCTTCTTTAATCCCTGCAGTTCATATCAAACTGAGCTTGATATTCGAATTCGTTCCATCTTTTAGTTCTTAGGATACAAAATACATTGTTTCGTACTAAAGATTAGTTTAATGAAAATGTATTGAAACGAAAGAGTCGATGGTTACGAAAATGTGAAAATTTACTCGAATTATGAATGTACGTTAACTTATGAAGCTTTTGAACATAACTCATTGAGTATGAATCAATTAGAATGGAACGTCAAATTTGTAATTCTTTAATTTCTTCTAATATTTCTTTTACCGTAATGATAAACTGATATGATCTAAGGAAGGCACGCGTTCCTATCTTAAGGAATTTTGCAACTACACAATGCACTATACATAATTACTCGTGCCAATCCAATTAGTATAAGAAAATAAATGTTCAGTAAATCACCGACATATATACAAGATATTTTTTAACCAACAAAAATAATCTATTGCTACATATTTCGTCATCCTAACGGATATTAAAAATTAAAAAAAAAACGCTTCGAGACACAATATTTATTCGATAGCACATAAATACGACAGTTGAACTTCCTCTTTAAACCACTAATCATCTCCCTCGCGCATGTCTGTCTCGTTGCAATCAAAAAACCAGATATCATTTGTTCCAGTTCCGTAGACCACAAACATACATAATATATGTATATTATGTAAACGACGTCAGACAACAAGGCAAAATAATTTACTGTTAGATATTTCGTCATTCTAAGAAAACAAATTCTAAGAAATTATGTATGTCATTCAAGGAATTAAAAATCACTGCGTGATATGATAACGGGCAATATCTATAGAGAAACGTATCGGACGTTACACAATATTTTTGTCGAGCACAACAATATTTTTGCGATAGGAGAAAAATAGCGATAATGAAACTTTGATGAAACCTGACTTCTTGTTGAAAACTCGACTCAACGTATCTTCATGAATGGTCGTGCTCCCTGCGTTCCTAGATAAGATACCGTGGGCGCTGATAAAGCGATCTTTCGTTCGTTCGAGTCAGTCTCCCCTAGCGAGGAAGAGCAATCTCTAGTGCGTCTCTCACGGGAGGCGTCGCTAAAATAATTCAGGACTCCCGAGGCGAGATCAAGTCCAACTTCTCCCTCGCGAGAACATTCCTCGAGGATCTATGAAAATACGATTCCCGGCAAATGTCTACTTCGTTACTGGCTCGCTATAAATAGACCCAAACGGCCTTGGTCAACCTTCTTCGAGTTCGTCGACATTGGTAACCGGTATCCTCTCTCGACCGACACTTCCACCAAAGAAGCTTCTGTCGGCCAGGGATTCCGAACTTTTGAGATCATACTCAGGGCACACGATGTCTGGACTCTTTTTTCTTTGTTCCGTTTGATGTCGGGAGAAAAATAATCGTTTTGGAGTATTTTGCGTTGAGAGCTAAGAGACTCGCGATAGTTCGTTTTCTATTTATTCTATCGAATAGAATAATACAATTAAATTTTCTTGAAATTATAAGCACGAAGTTATAAAATACTAGAGAGATTATTTGATCTTTTGAACGATGCTTATAATCGAACACAGTTGAAATTGCATCACTTTTAGTTGAAATTATTTACGGTTTCGTTTCAACCGAGACTGATATTTGATGTGTTTCACAGAGTGGTAATGGTAAGTAGTTTAACCTGTTTTCAAGTTAGACGAGACAGTATAACGATGCGAGGTAATTTGTACTTGGTTTTACAGGCTAGCAAAATTCTGATATCCTGCTGTTACTTGAACCGTGATTCTCATTTATAAACACTATGTTACATACATATTGATTTAACGGCATCACGCTACTGAAATAAATAACAGGAGTAAACTTCATTTAAAACCAGATACAGTCGTTTGGAATTATCAAACAATGTACGAAATGAATACTTAATATATCAAGAAAACGAGTATAGCGAAGAAACGGCCGAAATTAATGTTAATTAACCAGGAGATATCGCGATCGCTGGTTTTACAGCCACGATTTCTTGTCCCCGACATAAATCGTCCGATACGAAATCGGGAAATAAATCGATTCGCGAAGCATTGAATAAATCGGCGAGATAAGCCACGTTCATTATCCTCTTTCCTTCCGTTGATCGATGCATCGATACGCGTCGAGAAATTCCGAGATCGAAAGATACAGCCAATAAGATATCGAGAGCTCCGTTTCTCAATACACTTCCCGAACACTAAATACGAGTAAACTGGTCACGAACGAGACTTCCTGGCCAAGGGAATTCCAACACGAATTTCCCCTTGTCGACACAAAGAAGCTCGCACAAAGACATCGTTGACTAATCTGCAATAAATTTGATCAGCAACGCGAGACAGATTAAAATAACTCGCTTTCGACTATAAACCAATCGCTAAGAGAAGCCGAAACAATGGAAAACGAAAAAGTTTCACGAAAATTCACTTTCCGTTGGCTAACCGTATATATTCGTTTAATCCCGTAACCACGATGCGTTACAACAAAGCCAGCAGCCGCAACGAACGGAAAAAGTCACGAAGACGAGTTATCCGCGTTACCTCGAGCCTGTAATCAATTTCCCTGGTGAATTACGCTATCCGCACGGGACACGTGGAAACCGTACATGTGGAAGAAAACACAGCAGCATTGGAAGAGAACGATCGATTTTCGATCGAATGCACTGATCTGTCGTCACTTTTCAATTTCCAACTACAGAATCGACGCAATGACATCGAGTCGTGAAACAAGAATAACCGATAATCGCGAGTCGAACTCATGAACGACGAGCATTGAACAAAGAGACATTTACGCGTCACATAAAAGATGTAATCGTTGCATGAATTTACCTGTTTCTGGAGACGCGAATGGACGAGAATTGAAGCAAGCCAGCCGAATAAATCGTTGTATTCTTCTGGATATCAACGAACGTGTCACAAATACTTCTTCAAAAATTCTGTTTCTTATCACGGTCCGCAGCTTTCCACGAATATCTCCTCCTTCTTTTCGTAGCTTCTTTCACTTTTGTACTTCTTTCGATGAAAGAACAAGCCTTTAATTAAACGCACCAAACGTGAATATCGAATCGCTGTTTCGTCTATCGCCAATTATCATTCACGTTTTCACTTTGCCGAACACACTGGATTATCGAACGACCTAACCGATGCGACTTCTGCACTCCGTATTACACATACATACATATAACGATGCACTCTCTCGAGCGAAGGGCACGATGCTTGTTTATATTTTTCAAATTTCAGCGAAGATTTCTCAATCGCACATCGTCACGCGTAATTCACGACACCGAACGAGTCATAAACACAATGAGCTTATTCGAACGTTTCGACTAAGCCTGGCAGAGTTTTTGTCGAGCACGACCACGCATAACCTGTTTACCGGATGCACAGACACCGCCGAGATTTCTCTTCGAAAAACGTCTAGCTGGCGATGTTGGTCCCACGAGCAAGTAAATTCCTCCGTTGACGTGCCGGAAGGCTCGACGTAGTATCGAAGGCGTTGCCAGTGATACGTTTCCGTCGCGTGAAATCACAGACACGTGTGTCTCGAACGTGAGTTACAGGCGAGTCAAACGAAACGCCGCAATCATATACGACAGAGCAACGATATGATTGAATATTAATATCAAACAAATAAGAACAATGACTGAATTATTAGCGACTACCTCGAGTAAATAAGGTAGTCGTCAGACTTTCGATCTCGCGAAATATTTTCTACACGTTTAACGTCGACGATTCATCAACGAGACTTTTATGCATCGAGGAACACAATGGAAACGCGGTACGATCGATAAGCGTGTCGTAGATCGCGTATCGGTACGAAATTCAGTAGTAACAGCCGCCAAGGACGGAAAATGGACAATACGTATAAAGCTATCAATTTCAACTACTAATTGTACGTACTCTTCTTAACGATTCATTAAAAAGAAGGAATCGTTCGGAAGATTATTATTATTATTAGCACACAGAAGAATTTTCAACGAAGAAGTCGACATCCAAGAACATACTCTTCGTCCGACTATTATACTTTAGTTTCCAATTCTATGGTTCTCCTAGTACATTCTTACAGCTCCGCGACCTCTGGGAACGAAGGTCGGATTCTTGAAAACGTATTAAAAGATCACAACAAACGCGAAGCAGAATTTTACTTTTGCGCGTGACTCGTTTTTAACGTTAGAAATATAGTGCTGATTATCGCTGTGACTCGTGTCCCTGTTGTTCTTCGTTGCTCGTTCACTACACCGGAAACACGCACCTGTGGGTAGATCCTTCTAAGTATTTCTACTCCCTTTTCTCCGTTCACTTCGTTCTTCCAGCGTTGAAACAACGTTACTGAACGACACACTCGCGCGCGATCGCGTCCGCCGGAGCACTGACACGACTCAGGATTCCACGAGTGACTGCAGCCGCATACACGACTCGAGTCGAACGACTTCGCTGCTCGGCGCCACGACTCGTCGAGCCGAGCGGATCCGAATCCCTACGAACCGTTTCTTTGCGCTGCCGCTGGCCGCGACTCGCGCGCACTACGGCTCCGACTGCTCGCCGTGATGGAACGTGTCCCATCGTCGAGCTTTTCAACCCTTTGCGCTCGTATTCGGCTCGGAGATGGTTGCCGTGCTGGTCAGAATTCATTTGCATCCCACGAACGTTGATAAAATATAATCTCGTATGTAACAAGTAGCTTAAAAAGTTTTTTTAAGAATTATATGAAATTTTAAGAAGCGCGTTGACGAAGAAATGCGCAAGCAGTGGCTGTCAGAGAGCAGATATACAATCGAAATGGTAAAAGTGCTGTAGTGACCGAGCAGATGTACGATCGAAATGGTAAAAGTGATGTGGTGGCTGAACATACGACCGCAAAGGGTTAATAAGTATTATACTTTAATTCGTCGATGAAATCTTTGAAGGAGATCGAGGAAGAAAGATTTATATCGTGGAAATGTGAATAACGAAAGCTTCTGATGATTTTGTATCTTCTGAATTTAACAATTGAAACTTTCTAACGTCGAAATTTTTATTTTCGAACGTAACGTGAAATCTTCGCGGAAGATGTACGTCGTGAAAACGTGAATGATAAAAGCTTCTGATAATTTTGTATCTTGCGAGTCCGAGAAACGAGGTTCTGCAACATTCAACTTTATATCTTTGAACGTATCATGAAGATCATAGAAGATCGTTTGTCTTCGTGAAAATGTCAATGACGAAAGACTCTGACAATTTTGTATTTCTAGAGTTCGAGACTTCAATATTCACATTGAAATTTTTATTTTTAAGCGCGTTGTGAAATCTTTGAGAGAGATAAATTTGAGGATTTAAGAGTCTGACAAATTTGTTAAAAGTGTTCTCTTGGGTGGTGGATGAATGTGTTGATAAATTGTATCTTAAGCAAGAATTTTTAAACTTGACATTGTTAGGCGTGATTGAAGCTTCTATAAAGAATGAAAACAATCTGTTGAATTACAAAGTTTCAAGATCGAAGCATTTGAGAACACAGCAAACGTATTAATTGCTAACAAATACGTTGAAATTCTAATTTCACCTATTAAAAGTCTCTTTGGTTTCTTCTACCAAATAGTCTTCTCAATAGTTAGCCCAAATCTTAGAACCACTTCATTACAAAACCACGAGTCTATCAACAACCCAATGTACTTCCTCAATTCTAATACAACTCCATGTTACAATCAAATTTATCTATTGATTTAACATACTTCTATTTAACATACCGTTAAACATTCTCCATAATACTATGTAATTCCTCAAAATAACATTGAAACTCAGTTTCAAAACGTCATAAATATCCATAACTAAAAGGAACTTTTAATGAAATAAAAATGAATCCTGCCTAAGATGTTACTTAAAAAACTTGTAATATCTTTTCCTTCTGATTTAATTTTCAATTAAAACTAATAAGAGTGAAGAACGATAATCTGAATTTTCACCTACGTCATGTTTTTTTACGCGTCCGATGTTATGCTCCTTTTTATAACAATATGATATAATAATAATTAACAATAAAAAAGACGTATTATTATTCGAAGACACGATCTATTTTCTTATTATAATGTTATTTCCTCTTGTTGGACTTAACAGATACAGATCGAACATAGTTTGAGATCGTTCGACAGGTCAATGGATGAGGTTTTCGATGGTGTTCAGGTGCGCAAGAACTGCGAAGATCGGTCATGGAACTTCGACACGGTTTGCCAGATCTGGGCTCAATTTACGTTCAGTTGCGAAAGCAGCCGACGCTCGAACTTTGGATTTACATTCAAGTAAATTGGAATGCGGCATTCGGCGCGGAATGTACGGAGCATGCTGATAGTAAGGCGACGTGTTTTCGTGAGGAGAACGTTCCCGGTTATCGAACACCCTGGCGAGGTTATCGATATGCTAACTGGCTCGAAACTGTCACATAATTTGTCTCTGCTCGTAGGAGCTGCGGTCAAGCTGGTTACTCGGAGTTTACACTTCCTTCTATGTAGAGGTGAATGAGGAGGCAGTATATACGCAGCTTTTTAGCCGCTGGTTACTCTCATGTTTGAGATGTACATCGATTATAAGAATTTTACAAAATGTAAGTTATACGAAGAAATATTTAAAGCAAAATATAATTCCACTATTTAGTAAATGAAAGAAATTACTATTTAGATATGATTTCTTTTATTTTTAGTTATGTGTCAATTATGCTCCTGAAAATATGAATTTGATAAAAATTATACAATATAATCATGATACATATCATATGACGAATATGACGAATGTCAGTATAATTACGTGACAAGTTTTTTCTGCAATAGTGTTTCTAGATATTTTAAAAATGCCTACAATTTTGTAATTGAGTGTGGTAGTGGGAGAAAAATGTAGAAAATATGTTTCAGATTGACATTCTAGAGTTTTCTCAATTTTTGTTCAATTTCTCAAAAAGTTAAAAGTTTTATTACTATATTTAAAAGTTATTAATCCACTTTTTCGGATTGTATTAAATGTGTGAATAAATTACTAAGCAAATTATGAGAAAGTATTTCAAGTATGCGACGAGATGGAAGTTTTCGTTTTCCGCAGCATATAATGACATAATACGATGATGAAGGTGGTTAATAAAGCGGAGAGAAACGTTTCATGAAGTGGGTCAATTGTCCAAGTATAAATTACGAAAAACCGATCGATCATCGAATTCGATTATACAATTAGTTGGACAACTTGGCTCCGTTCGCCACTTCAAACTTCCACCAACTTCTTCAAGCGAATCAAAGTGTACGTTCCATTTTAAGTTACGAAACTGTTTTCGAATACGGATCACCATTGATTATTGATTCTGGCTTACACTGCGTACTGAGAATATTAAGGGGAACACTAAATATTCTAACGGGTTTCGTATTTAAATGCTTAATCCAACACTTCAAGCAAGGACAAAAATTTAAGAAACAAATTTTTAAGACTTTTGAAATTTATGTTCACTTTTCGATCAACTAATTTTTCTACCCAAACCTTGTTACAATCAATTTGCGATTATCTTTAGTAACTGACATCACATTTATAATTAATAAGTCAATCGTCTCAATTTTATTTTAAACAAAATAATTCCATTTGTTACAAGATTTACAAGTTCCAGAACGGAATTGTTGGAGATCGAAATAATTGACTTTTCAACTACGAAATAATGCGTCAGGTCGTAACGAAATTCGTTTGAAAAATGATTGAAAATTGAGCGTAACGAAATTTGTCAAATATTCTACGGACATGAAATAATATTAAAAGGAAAAAAAACATGCGAGAAAAACACCTATTCACTTTGAAATTAAAGTAAAAAAATATCAACATTGCTCGGCTGGCTGATCCGAATTCAGTGCATTAGATTTCAATTACGAGGAATCCATTGTAACAAGCCGTGATAAAAGCTGACGTTGTGCCGGGTATATGGGTAAACTGGTGCAAGAAAATTCTTTGAATTATATCTGGCTGACAAAGGGCTGAGAGTTCTCGGAACGTTGAATAGACGACCGGCCGTCGAATTTCATTCATATCGGAGACGCTTTTCACGAGTCGCATCTTTTTGTCGCTCAGGGTTGATCTTGATTTTGCATTAACGCGAATGAAAGTGGCTCGATACTCACGATGGCGAAACTTGCGATCCCGAGTCCATTGAAAATCCTGCCACGTCGCTGCAATGCGGTTTTCCCAGATAAATAAGCCATTACATCGGCTTGTCGTTTATGGACGGACCATAGTGTCGACGGGATCGTGAATAGCAATAAATGGACACAGCTCACTGATCCAATGGTTATTAGCGTCTAAATATTTCCCGGATCATCGACTTTGAAGAAAATTCATTTTTAAAGGATGTTTCAGGATACGAAAGTATTGTATAGTGAGAACATACCTACTATCTTTGGAAGATTCATGTCTTTAAAATGCCAGAGTGTTATTTTATTGAACGAATAATAAAAATAAACAAATTTTATCGCAATGAGAAATAGTAATATCTAGTACAATATCAAGATTTGAAGCGCGATATTAAATATGCGTCGTAAATTTATTATATAATCGGTGCAATAAATCAGTACAGCTAATATGCTACCCATCTGCAAACCTAAAACTACATATTTCGTAATACGTTATTTAGATGGATACGTTATTTATCCCTAAAACTGAATTTTAAAAAATCAATTCCATCTCTGACTCAATGACTACATCTCTTGTAATTCAGTTAATTTTATCGATACGAAAACTACTCACTACATAAATATTTACCAATGTAACCACATATCCAGGGCTCTAAATAATTTTATCCGTAGCATTATCGAATTGCTATCTAGGAACCGGAACCCGCCATGTCCGCAAGAAATAGCAATGGAAACTAATTCCAACGTGTGGTTGCAAAACAGCCGAGGCTAATCCCGAAATGAAAACGTCCCGTCGCGATCGTGTCGTGCAATAGGATCGTAAGTTAGCAGGCGGTGCGGCGGTGGTTTCACGCTTAAATTAAGAGTGGAACGCGTGCGTGATGGAAATCGTTTTCACGCCGGCGCGTCCTCGCGAAAACCAAGCAAGGAAATTTAGATGGGGTATAGCGCGTACAGGTTTATCGGAATCTACTTACGATTAGCCGGACGCGGCTTGCCGAACTTCGATCTAATAACTGGGAACACGCGAGGCCATCTAACCGTGTAGAGATTATATCTTCATCGCGTTCTGTCCAAATGTTAAACGATTATTCTACGGAATATTCATGAAGCGAAGAAAGTGAAAATCGGACACGTAAATAGTGTGGTATTACTATCTTTCTATTCCTCTATTGTATATTGGAATTCATTTTTAGTTAGAACTCGATGAGTTGTTCCTTTTTATTAATCATTGTAATTGAATCATTCGCGTGATGTTTTTATCTACCGCTGG